AGAAATTATAATTACATCTGCCTTACCTTGAATGTATGTTTTTGTCGAGCTCTGTAAAGAACTCGAACAAAAAATGAAACAAAGACTTTGGAAAACTTGTGCAGGACTATTTTTTCAAACTTGCCTTCACTGTCGTAAAACATACGGTATTTATATATATGAACCGACGTTGTTTTGTGAGTTTTTCCAAGAAAATTCTCGCTTATGTTTGTCTTTACTCAGAAAGCTGAAAATGTTTTTATCACTTACAAGTGCCGAATAAATTGTTTTATTCATCATTGCATTAGTTCTATGCACAAGTTCTAGAAGCAGTTGAATAAATATTTTTGTATTGGGAATTCTATACAGAGTTTAATAATAATAATAATAATAACAACAACAACAACATCACTCGTATATGATACTATAATCATAATTTATCGACAGTTTTTTTATTCTAAATACAAGCTAATAATGAATTTTGGAAAATTCAATCACAAATTGAACCGGCAAAGAGAACGTAATTCCCATCTTGTTACGCTTCCCTTATTCACTACATTAAACTTGTCAGATGTTTGTAGTAAAGCCCTCGCCTCATAAAGCATATAAAATCGATACCTTCTCGGTCAGTGTTCAAAGTGCATGCGATTTGGTGATGTTGTAATTACTATAACTTTTTATCTAGAAGATGAAAATTCACTCTAATCATTTTCCATATCCAAATTAAGTTTAAAGATGAAGATGAAATTTTTTCATGGATCCAATAGCAATTATCATATAAATTGGTGGTTTTTCTCCAAATTAACGGACTGAAAACCATAGAGCCGTTGAACCTAAGCTTTAAAAGTCGTTTTAAACTAGTATTTAATAAACGTTGTTAGTAGATTACACAAAGTCTTACGGCTTGTAATTAAAAAATGAAAAAATTTTTACTTAATCTTCTTGAAGGAAGACATCCATAATGCACAACACCGCGAACACCACAATTGAAGTCAACATGACTTCGAATGTGTTGAACGATTTGCGCATAAAGACATTCGCTCGCGATTGGTCAGTTATTTCTGTGTCATATGCGCTTTATGCCGCCCTGCTAATCACAAATCATTGTGTCAGGTAAACATTGAAAATTCACTTTTGTATGTTTGCAAAAAGACGTGGGATTCTGCAGCCCTTGCATTTATTGATATGATACTCCGCGCAGATGTCAAAGGCAAAAAACAAAAATAATAATAATAATAATAATAAAAAAATTCAACGATTTCAAGTCTAAATGAAAAGTTCGCCTTGTTGTTCGCTTTGTTGTATATACATGTGTATGTCTTGCTTGGAATCAAATATTGTGTACGAACTAGTGAGCGGTATTAAAATTTCGATCTGAGTCAATGCTGTTATATTCTCTTCTTTTTTTTTTTTTTTTTAAATGAGTTTTTATTTTGCTTGTTTTCTGTTCGTATCAATCAATATAGATTTCATGTGTGTGCAAATATGTGAACAGTAAAATTTCATCCAATGAACATATATCCTACTTTCTGTCATGTAAAATTTCCGGCCTGTTAAACTTTCAAGTCCTTACCACTACTAGCGAAACAAAATAAACGAGAACAACAACGCAAATTTAATTACTGCCTAACAACTCTGGTTTTCTCAGTAATTGATGGGACCAGCGGTCTTTAATAAAACCTTTAGAGTACAAAATACGGGAGGCAAAAAAGAAAAAAGAAAAGGACGAATGTTTGTTTTCTCACGGGAATCATCAAGACGGTTATCAACCGTGATGACTGCAAACTATTAACTCGAGTCTTCTAACTTACAACTTTATGCTATCACTCGTATCGTATACGATTTTAGTCTCATCTACAAAAGCATTCATTTTGAATTATTTTGAATAAAAATTTATATAAGAGATTGTTTCACACTTCACTCTTAATTGCCAAATTGTTTGACAAGTCAACTTTCAGATGTCCCTGCCTGGTCATAGTCTTACACGCAATAGCAACTATGTGTTATCGTAACGCAAATTCTGAATTACATTATTCATTATCGAGTATTTTATATATAAAATATTCTTGATAAGTGTAAATTCGTAAATTGATGTAACAATATCCGTTTGTCAGTCCTACTGTCCAGCCATTGTTTTGCTTAACTAGAATCCGCTTTAAAACCCTATCACGGAAAAATGTATAATAGAAAGCTTGACAAACCGCTAATGTAATACATCTCGAATTGACTACCGTGGGCCACATTCGAAGAAAACATGAATCCCCCTACACGTAAACATCGACTGTTTATCATCTATGCAATCATTGTTAAAAAAATGTTTCGGCAAAGTGGTGTACAGGCATCGTAGATTTGTCCCAAGGCGTATATATAATCTTCAGAGTTATGCTTAGAAGGAAATGAAGAATGAAACTTTATATTTTTTAACTATGTCACTACTACATCATAATCTAATATCTTGAACAGTCTAAACTATTCGTACACTTTAATTAAGGAGATAACTAACAAGTGGTCAGTGTTTGATTTAAGACATTTTGATTACGCACGAGTTCGTGTTGGAAGCAAAAAAAAAAATATAAAAATAAAAATAAAGTTAATACAAGGTCGTTGAGTACGTAATTAAAAAAAAAAAAAAAAAAAAGAAGAAATTGTCAGACATTGCTTAAGCACTTTAAAAAGTAAGTGAGTGTTAAAGCTAACAAAGCAAAACAATGACTGTTTGCGTTAATTTAATACGTAAGGAGTACGAAACGTGAGTTTAAAGTAATGCCACATATTAAAATTCTTTTCCAACAATTCATTAAAAGGCGATCATCTCTTTTCATTATTCTTAAGAAGAATATATCCTTGAAAATGCTTAATTTTATGAATACATACATACATATGTACATGTATGCACTCGTCAGGTAAATAGAAGAAAAAATGAAAATCACCTAAAATGAGGCAAATGAGAGAAATGTTAAAAAGCCTTAAGCCTTAACAGTCAACAACTAACTGTTGATTGTTGGTTAGTTGGCTGCATACACATGAAATAAAATACAATAGTAAGCCCAGCAAATACAGCAGGAGAAATGAAAAAAAAAAAAAATAGATTATAACGACAATGATAGTTTCAAGAGAGAAAAAAACGAATATACTAAAACTAAAATTAAATAGCAGCGACAATAACTGTCACAATAGCGGATGAGCACTGCATACATTTCAGCTTAAGCATAAGCTATTATATGCACATTCACCTAATGCCAGCTCGTTTATTGAAAAGCTTGCATACTAACTGGTTAAAATATAATATAATCAGGCCTGAAAACTTTTGCCAACATCGACTTCTTCATCTTAAGATTAAATATTGATTACAACGTTTGTACTCGATTACATAAGAAACAACAAAACGAAAGAAGAGAAAAGCAAACAAAAAAAAAAAAAAAAACCAAAACGAAAAGCAAAAATAACATAGAAGGTATTCTCCCACACCACTAGCTTGTATTAAAAAGACAAAATCAGCTGAGATAAATTGGGATAAATGGGTGTCCTGCGAACCATAAGGAACCGAGATTAAGATCAAATTTCTTCATTTGAAATTGTAGTTAAATCATGTATTAAAAAGGCGTGGCGTGTCCGCATTGTCAGAGTCCTTGGATTTTTAATGTTCAAGGCGCCTCCATATCCATCCAGCACGCATTAGACACCAAAACACACTACAAACTTCTCCGACCCTCTGAATAACACACCGACTTATTTATTAAATCTTGAGGCTCGATTGTAGCTGAGTTTTTAGTAAAGAGAGTCTGCAAGTAGATGAGTGGGCGAGTAGGCAAGAGTCTCGACTAGTAACTCAATGGTCGGTAGAGCCAAAAGCCTTAGATCCTAGTGCTTTAAGACTTCAGTCTTGGAATTTATTCTCTGGCTAAATTTATAATAATAATAATAATAATAATAATTTTCTAGTCAAATAATTGGACTTTGTTGGCCTGTGAAAGCTTACTTTTCAAAAAATAGGCAGATGTAGTCCAAGTTTAATAAAGTTCATTTTTACATCGAATTACTATTGCCAACGAACAATTTTCATGGTAAAATATTAAAAATCATTTTTTTTTTAGTTTTTTTGCTGAATGAAAGCTTAGTTTTGCCTTGGACGAGTTATAAAGGGAGAGGACGGGTGTTAATAAAATGGACCCATTCGATCTAAACTTCGTATATTCATTTCGCTTGCTGAAATACAATACTCTTTTCTAGCGCACCATTTCTTTTCTCATATAAAGGGGCGTTATATGAGTAATGGTTATAAAAATCATTCTGTTCAATCCTTTCTCAGCAGTGGTCGACTTTGTGTCAAAGTGCGCCACTTCAACAGTTTTCAGGTTGAACTTTCAGCTTGTAGGTTGAACACCAAATGCAAGGGCAGTGGTCTGACGCAGGCACACAGACGAGCTAAAATCGATAGCATAAAACGATTCTAAATTATTTGGTGGGAATTGGAAAAGTTGAATATATCTCATGTTGTTCTGGGTGTTGCAAATGTGCCCGCATTAACTTAATGTGCCCTGTTAAAGCAATTGGTGTCGCATACCAAAACTGCAGTCAACTATTGCGGAGAAATAAGGCGCCATACAGATATGTGTACCAATACAGTTTGTAAATGATGTCATAAACGCCAAGTGGATCTTTTGCAAAAATATAATTTGAAAACAAAGCGCATAGATCCGCCCATCGACTCTTACCTATTGATTGGTTATCTTCAAAGTATATAAAATTGTTTTTGTTATCGATTTAACTACAAACTATTAAATTTCGTTTATGTTCTCCTGCGCCAAAGGAGAGAAAAAACTCAAGGATTTTAAAGCGGTTTATACGTATACTTTTGTCGTAGTTGAAAATGAAGTCTGTCTTGTGTATGCTAAGGACATCTACATAAATATACTAAATCGCATTTGTTCAGGATATTCATTTCAAAAATATACTTACTCAGTACATATATATACTACGTCTCATATATAAATAGAACTGTTACGATTGTTTTATTGCAGATCTTTGTGACATTTATGGAAGGCATTTTAGAAAGGATATCATCAAGGTTTGACCGGAATTTTACAAAATTTTAAGTTTAACTTGAACTTGAAGCGCCTGGCAACATGGGAAATGGCATGAACAAGGTAAGCACGCTCTAATTATCTTTCCTTTTATTTTTACTTAATGTACTTAAAACTTCGCTTGAATTTTATAATTCAATTATTTCATTAATAACTTCTTCGGCATATCATTCTCAACCGAAGGAGACCGGTGTGCTAAAGTGCGACTTTTTGCTTGCAATACTCGCGACAATATGCGGTTACTCCGAAAATAATTATAAGTCGAATTTCTAAACACATTTATAAATTAACTTCACCTTCTCAGTAGTCTACTCACCGCCATGAAATTAAAAAACAGATTACTCTGCCATGCGAGAATTTCAACAATATATATCGTATTATTAATTTAAAATGAATTCGTTATACATTGCTAATGAAAGTGAGTTAGGTGATTTATTCATTTTCATTTTTTTTTTTTTTTTTCTTTTGAAGGTGTTATCCTTTTGTTGTTTTTGTGTGAAACGTGCATTTTTCCCTTCAATAAAGAAGAAATTTGAACAGATAGCAAGCTGTGCTTAATACATGTCCTCTATCCATAGTAAAAAAATAAAAAAAAAAAATAAAAAAAACCTGCAATATTTTGCAAGCAATTTTAGTATTACGACATGTGAAAATTTTTGGTAATCATAACAATATGGAAGAAAATAAGAAAAGAAAAAAGACAATATTTTCAAATCGCAGGCAATCGAGAAAATTGCAGAATTCTAGTATCAAGAAATGACTGCGTATTCATGTAAAGTATGTAAGTTGTTCTGTGCTAGAATATTAAAGGTGGGTAGACAAAGTGCTTGTGCGCCTTATATAATGCCATATAACTGAGACAATATTTGATATACAGCAGCGAGCCTATGCATCTTGTTATTGAAGTAGTAATAATTATATCATTAAAGTGCAATCTGTGTGCAGCAACAAAACATACATAGCCAGCCGTCAAAAAGGTGAAATACAAAATATAAAAATAACTATTGCTGGCAAGCTCTTACCAACTTAACGAATCTATATCGAATTTTTTCTTTTTCCAATGAATTATTTAATGACTGAGGCATGGTCTGCCCTAGAATAACTGCAGCAAATTGAATAAATTTAACGTTTTTGCAAAATTTTTAGGTATTGCCCGGCTTGTATGTAGGCAATTATCGTGATTCGAAAGATACGCAACAATTGGATAAATTTCAAATCACTCATATAGTGGCCATACATGACAGTCCGAGACGGTTATTGCCGGTAAGGATTGAAAGATTAATTACGAACAATTTTTACAATCGATTCTTCATTTTTATAGGACAAACACTATCTATGTGTTATGGCCGCAGATACGCCCGATCAGAATCTATCGCAGTATTTTACCGTGTGCAACGATTTCATACATGCGGCTAGATTACGTGAGGGCAATGTCTTAATACACTGCCTAGCCGGTATGTCACGTTCGGTCACTGTAGCAGTGGCTTATATAATGACTGCAACAAATCTTAGTTGGAAAGATGCCTTGAAAGTAGTGCGGGCGGGACGAGCTGTAGCCAATCCAAATATTGGATTTCAAACGCAACTACAAGAATTCGAAATGTATCGCTTGGCCGAGGAACGAAGGCGCCTAAGAGAGCGTTTTCCTTCAACAGCTTTGGAGCAACTAGATCGTACTAAATGTATGACTGCGTTGGATAACTACGAAGAGTTGTTACAAAATAAGGACATCTGCGAAGGCAATTGTGCCAAGGGGGAAAAATGTCCCACAGGTACGCAAATAACCGATGTCAAGGAAACGCCACAAAAGGAAGAAACGGTTCAGAGTAGCGATAGTGATGAAGTTCCTCGACGAAATATAACTTATATGTTGTCGTTTGCGGTGGAACAATGGAAAACTCCTAAACGGAAATCGAATAAAAATAAGAAAAAAAATGAGGCGACGACAGAGACTATTACAGAAAATAAAAACGAACTTATTACAGATATAGAAGTTGATAGAGAAAATCAGGCAAAGATTGACAGCGAAAGTGAAGAGAAAATTAATAAAAATATTGATAAGAGTGAGGTTACAAGGTCAAAAAGTCAAAATGAATTAGACAATGAGACAACAAGCGAAGAAGATGATGATGGTGAAATTCTAATGCCCAATGTTAAATTATATAAACCGTTAATTGCAAGGAGACAAGAAGAATGAGTTTTTAAAATTGAAATTATTATTTATCATCTATCATATTATCTATCATATTATCATAAATCATAAAAACATTTTGAATAAAGAGTCACATTCAGTTTTTAAGCGCTAGTATTGCATTTCATTACAAATTTTATCTATGATTGTTTAGAACTAAAGTGCATTTTGATATAGGTGTTTGCAATATGGACCCCACCAAGGGCCTCTTCCGCCGTCGGCCCTCTTCTGCTTCGACACGTTCACGTTTAAAACCTCAATCTGCGGCCGGTGGCATAACCACCGCCCAATCGTGTCCTACTTCTCCGAAACATAGTGGTTGCAGTCAAGCGGGCGGTTCCCGTCGATCGCTTGGCGAACAGAGGATACCTGAAGACGAAGAGGCCCACCTTAGTCCGACCACATCCTCCGAAGCGGCTGAGTATGCTGCGGCCATTGAGGCTGCTCGATTAGAGCAACAACAACAACAGCAACGTTTACAAGTACAACAACAACAACAGCAGCAACAGCAGCAACAACAACAAAAACAACAACAACAGCAACAGCAGCAGCAACAGCAATTAAAATCTCCCACCAGAAGTTCGAGTCGTTCTCCACGTGGCGGTAGCGCTGGTAGCCGTTTGACTGGTAACATAAACAACGTGACTGCGGTAGATAGAACTGCCAAGAAGACCGAGGAACCGATAAATGGTAGTTTGCAACGCAGTGCCAGTACGGTAAGCGGTTTAGGAGTACGTCCACGTAGTAGTCCGGCCGGTTTATATTCCTACACAGGTTAGAAGCCTAAAACAAATTGAAAGGGAGAAAATTAGTGAGCATTAAAGCATGAGATTATTTAAAAGAATGGCAACTCATTGAAATTATGTAATATTCAGTTATGCAAAACATACATACATATATTAAAATATTACAGGTTCGGTGCCATCCTCACGTGTAGATTTACGGGACAGCGATAGAGGGTCGGCTATATATCTGGGTTGCTCAGCACCGCGTACATCTACCCTATCATTGGCCTCATCTCGAGGTTCGGCAGGCAGTTCTGCTCCGGCGTCACCAGCCCGAACTCCACCTGTCAGCCCTAGACATGGTGTGCGAAGGTAAATGTAACAAACAAATAAACATAAATATGACCCTCTAATGAAATAATTTCTTAAAGATCTGCCAGTTTAGTGAAAAAACAAAGATGAAATAATTGGGCGGCAACGAAAAGGCAAGAAATTGACTGTTACATACAAATAAAATCTGTCTAAAGCATTTTTATTATTTAATCAAAACAATGCATTTCTTAAATTAATTTTGTTAAGAAGAGAAAAAGTATTGGAAAAATTATTCCTGCTGTTCGCCTCCCTTTTCCTCTCCATATAATCTATAATAATTAATTATTAAGCTTTCGAATTTAAAAAGCAAACCTTTTAAAGCCTAGGGAGCAAAGTTAAGCCAAAGTTAAAAGATTTACATAAAGTCGAAACTTGAAAAGCAATGAATATTTTTTTTAAATCAACAACAATGTGAACAAAAAAAAAAAAAAACAAATTCAGATTTTAGCTCAATAAACGCCTTTAGATCTAAAATCAAAAAAGTTAATTAAAAAAAATTTTAAAAAATACGAAAAAATTGAACAACAAAAAAAGGAAAAAAACAAAATAATAAAAAAAACAAAGAAGCAAATATGGAACAATTATGAAGAAAAACTTTAAGCTAAACAAAAAAAAAAAAAAAAATCTCTCTTTTCTACTCTCTAAATTTTAAATTTATTTAAAATATTTACTGCTCTATGAAAAAGAAATTAACTTAAGCTCTACACAGTGTCTAACACTTGCAAACACTACCTGCTCTAACGCTAAGATGCACAAAACTATTATCGTAAGTTTTTGTTTTTAAATCGCTCATTAAAAAGTGCGAAAAAATATCTTAAAAAATTTACATTTAATGAAAAACGACTCCGCTTGTACCTTATCGAGAGTAAAGTATCGCAATAAATTATTATGTGTACATATACGCCGAGAGAGAGCATGTTACTCAAATCAGATCAAATGCAATAATAAAAAGCAAAAAAAAAAAAAAAATAATAAAACAAATATTGCATATTATAATAACACGAGAATCCCGACAAACGTAAAAGCTTAATTATTGCTTATTACAGAACTAAAAGCTTTCATGATTTTTCCTCTTCGGTATTAAAAAAAAAAAAAAAGTCTGCGTTTCAATTATCCTTATGTAACCAGCGAACTTCGACTAAATATGCGAATTTTTTTACAGATAATTTATTGATGACACATTCATCAGCACTATGAAGCAGCAAACTGAACGCTTTGATCCGATCAGTCACTGGCCATTGAAACTGAGAAACATTCGGGAAATTCAATATTTCCGCAAACGCATTTCGTGACGCCCTGCCTAATGCTTACATTCTTTCACTTTTATACTTTTCACTTTCCATGTTAAAAACATTCTCATATGCCGACTCACATTTGTATAAACATTTTCTTAAGATATTGGCAGAAATTCGCACCAATTCGCACTAATGATAATGTAGGGTATTCGAGATGAACGGGAAAACAATTGCTGACCTGACCGACATTATTCATGCATGCAATGTTCTTATGCGAAATGAGATTCTGTATCGATTCAGCCGCATATAACATTTACATACTCAAGTGCATGTCATCTATAAATTTGAATATGAAATCTCAAGTTAATCTTTTTTCGTCTGCTTCTGATTTCGCTTTCTTTGAAGATAAAATTACCTAAGAGTTTAATAATAATTTTAAAGCAGTGCTCTGTCTCTTATTTGTCAGTTTTTTTTTTTTTTTTTTTTCGTTTTGAAACTAAGTCTCTTAACAAATAATCTCGTCACGAGTTATATAAGAGTGTAGTCATGGCTTGGGCCTTGGCCGAATAACTTGTTTCGATAGTTGGCTTAGAAGTCTAATAACAACTCCTTGATGCATTTCAAGGATTTATTAAGTTTATGCGGAAATTGGTAAGAGTCACAAGGACTTGGATAGACCCATCTTTTATTATACCGACTATAGCCTAAACTTGTCTGTCCGTCTATCTACCGGATGTCTATCCACGTTCATTCTACACGTCGCACGTTTTCAACTATTTCGGTACAAGGACGAATGTTATTGAAAACAGTTCGGATCGGATCATCATGATAAAAATTGGTTCTACGGATATGGAATCTTTACATGATGAAAAGGATTCATTTTCAATGGTAGTTGGTTAAAATACGTTCATAATAATAATTTAACATAAAAGCTAACCTTGAACGAACTTGAACCGCATAAGTCAATTTTTTGAATCCCAACCCGAATCCCGGTACAAAGATTCTAATGAAAGATAAGCCTTTACATGCCAAAACGGTCTAATCTCAAATACTTTACGATGAAAACTGGCCCTTAGCAAATTAACGATCGGGCACTTGGATCACATAGGCGTAGGCGACAAAGCTCTAATGTGTGTAAATTAAGTTTGCTAAATTTCAACTAATCTGAAATTCGTATATAGGGTCTTTTTTTTTTTTTTTTTTGGTTGTATTATTCCGAAAATCAGTGAATGACTGCGTCAGGCGAAGTAATGTAGGCTATCTAAAAGACGCAGTGATCCGACAATATCATTCATAGTTGCTGTATATTAAGTTAGTCGAAGTTTGATTATAAAATAAAATAAAAGAAACACGGAACGGATTGGACGCAGACTTTTATGGTTGGGAGTTGGGTTGCGTTACTATTTCCTATCACAAATTGTGTGCTCTCGTTCGACTATTTGTATGTTACTCAAAAGGAACTTTCTATTAAGAATTTCTTTGCAATAGAAGGAAGTTCAAAGGAATTCACATTTTGCAAACGCATATTTCTATAAGCAAACATATACATATAATAATAACTAAAAAAACAAAAAAAAAAAAAGCTTAACAAGTAAATACAAAAACGCTCACAAAACAATTGTAGCGACTTATTAGAAGATTTTGTTTCTTTTAGAACACATATATATTGTTGTTAAATTATTGTTGATTATATTGTAGATTTTTTTACTAAAAAAGATGAATAATGAAAAAAAATTTTACTTTTATACCTAAATATATGTTATGCAATAATAATAAAACAAAGGATATCTTAAATATGAAAGAAAAAACTTTAATGAGTTAATGGAAAGGCGAAAAAAGTAAAAATAATACAGTAACAACAACAACTAGATTGAATTAAATTTTTTGCATTATGTTCAGATGTTCTTTATAATTTACTTTGCGATTTCTTTATGACACCATCATAAGCTATGTAGTCCAGGGGGAAGGGGTGGATTGGACCGCAAACTCTGAATTCAACATTTTGCAGTGTATGATTTGCACTCTATACGCTCATGCAAAGACCGATTATATAATAAAATTGAAATTACATTTCAAAGCTTTTATTAGATTTCAAATATCTTTCCAGCCTTCATCTCTTTCATCCAGATAATTTTGAGTTGAATTTTTCAGGCGTCACATTAGCTTCGGATTGCAACGAATCCCTTCTTTCCTTTCTTATCAATTTTCTTTCGCTTTCCATCTTAAAGAAACGCGGAAATATCAATCCGTTTGCATAAATAAAAATCCGAATGCATTAAATGCAATTCGGAAATTATGACTCGATAGAAGAAAAGCAGGAGTGGTGAAGTGAAATTCAGAAATAGTCAGTCGAAACTTCAGAAAACATCTGAAGGCAAAAGATAAACTACTTTACACCATTATTTGTGTCATGAAATATCAAAAATTAAATATTATCGCCAAGCAATGTCCACATGTTCGCGAGAACCTTTACACGGGCGTAGGCCCGAAAAATAGACCTTTGTTGTGATCAAATTTGAAGATAGTAAATTTATAAACCAAGTCCGCAATCAGAAGCACTTTTCATCACATTATTATTATTGTCAATCTGACGACTTGTTGCAATATAAGGCTTATTTTCCATAAGAACGTTTTTGTGGGAACGGATTCTTATTCATATTTTACAGTGGCCTCAGTACGCCTGCCCGTGCTATATTGCGTGCACTGTATTTTGTTAAACAAATTTTAAATATAACAAGTAAAGAGGCTTTAGTGGGGCACGGTCCATCCTTAAACACCAACCAAACCAAGTTTCATCACAATAGTTCAAAAATTGCGACCTGTAAGTTGAACACAAGAAATCAAAGTAGACGGACAGACAAATCTCGATCGATTCAGAAATATTTTCTAATAAAAGATGGATATATCTCAAGTCCGTCGTGTTTTTGCGTACATCCATTCGCTCAACTACCCTTATTATACCGTTTTACGACAAGTGGTGTAGAATACAATAAATTAATTTTCTCTATAATAACATTTTCAAAGTACGTAAGCGCAATCAAATCGATCCAATCCCTTTTCAGTGACATAGATCACTCTGCCAATTTCCATCAAAAATATTGTAAAAGTTGTGACCTGCAGCCTCAATTATTGAGCCTCAATTACATGGAGACGCACGAATAGACAGACATAAGCCTATAACACAGCTTATAAAAACTTGATACCGTAGAAATTGGTTTTATCTCAGGTCATTTCGAAATAATACGTTTATCGATAAAACCTTTAAGTCCGAGGAGATAAAGGCTGCACGCGCGAGGAGATGCTTTTTATATCCTCTTGTTGTGTTTAGGAAATCGGTTCCTAAAGCTTGAAAGAAATAAAAAATTTCATAGGCAAAGTCATGGCCTCGATTTAAATGTCAGATGAAAGTTCAAATTTCTGAGAGATGATTGACAAAACTAATTGCTATTCATCTTTCTTTAAATAAATTTGCAAGAGGACAACAAAAAAAAAAAAAAGAAAAAAGCATAATAACAGCAGAAAATAATTTAAAGGAATTGAATTATATAATCCAATCTTATAAAAGACGATATACGCAAAAAGTTTGTTTGTTATCAAAAAGAAAAAAGTGAAAAACAAAGCAGTTATATTTATTGCACGACAAATAAATAATATATAATTTATGTTAAACAAAAGTAAATGAAATTTTAATAAATCAAATTAATAGAAAATCAATTGTTGTAATTATTTTAAAAACTTTTTATATTATATTAAGAAGAGAATATACATAATAAATACGGTTTGTTGAATCATTTATTGAAAAATCAAATAAAAAAAAACGTGAAAAATGTCAATGAAAGCTTAAATATTTTTAGACATAAAAAATTAAAAGGAAAAAAAAACAAAACAAACATAAGAAGCAAATAAATATATATGAAAAGTAAAAGAAAATATGTTGTTCGTTTCATTCAAGACGAAAAATCTGAGATAATTACACTCCGCTTTCGCCTTGGCGGACACTATATGTGTATCATGCAATGAAGTGCTAACCATTGCATCAGTGAAATAAATTCTATTTCATTATTCGCTTAACGATCTTTGCGCTCTTCATTAGCTTCTTGAGACCAATACTTGAATATGTCTCAGTTATATGGTCTCCTCTGCCATGTTGTCTTAATACAAGTCGGTTGAAAATTAATTTTTGCTATTTGCCCTGAGAAATTTGGCTTGGTACCTAACTCCTCCTATCCATGCCTCCTTATGGAAATAGACAAACTTTGCTGGCCTTTCTCGCTTTACAGGAAAGTGAATTTGTTCTCGGTGTCTCCTCCTGCTTAGTTAAGTTAATAAATGGTAATATTGGCGCGTCAGCATTATTAGTGCTTCAATGTTCTTAGCCGTTGTTTTCATAAAGCTCAGTCAATATGAACTTCTCAACCCATTTAAGAGGCTTCGCAAGAATCTAGATGACATCTGTAACTTAACCTCAATATTCGTTCGATTCGTTAAACTCTATCGAAGCTACTTTCTATAATGAGCGAGCTCCACCTACGCCGTATTTAAACTAAAGCTTCGTATGATTCGAACTAACTATGGCTGCCAAGTTTTTGCATGTTTGCAATGGTTTAGGGATTCGTTTCCTACTCGGATCTATGCCTCTGTATATGTTTTTTTATTATTTTTCTCTTGTTTGTTTATATATGAATTTCGTTTTTACTTTTTTCCATTTTCTTTTGCTATTTTGTTATTCTCTAAGATTATTTATAATAAACAGATTAAGTTTATTTTTCAAAATTCAATCTAATTCCACTGTTTATTTATATTCGCTAAATTTCGTGTGTAAATCAATGAATTACTTTATAAGTTACAAGTTCTCTATTATGTAATTATTTTAAGGAGAATAATCTCTGTAATGAATTTTATATTTTAAAATTATGAGAGTACTTCTAAGACACTAATAATACTTTTACAATTGGCTTACAGCAGACTTTCCAGATATGCTCACGAATAATGCGATAAGACGAGCAAAGCATTGCAACCTTGTACCCTTTTAGAAGCAAGTAAACGTTACCAAAGTGCATCGCGTCATTTTTAATCCTTTAGCCCGGTTTTCGCCAGTCGCCAACTGCATGATGCCGGTAAGATCGTATGGTTGGGCATAGTTGGTCTTCCCCTGCTTTAGAATTTAATGACTTAGAAAATCGAATGGCATTTTCGAAGCAGTGTATACGCCTCCAATGAGATGAGATGATATTAAATCTTTATTTGAATTGAATATCCGGTTTGATATCCTTCAGTTGAAATAGAAGACAGATAGAAGATAGAAAAAGCATGTCTTTGTGCCAAAATCTTAAAATGTTATGTTTTCAAATCTTTTCAAATCAATTCAAAACATAAATACGAAAATATGTGTTCTACGGAACTATTTGAACATTTTTGTGAATTGGTTCGCGCCTTCAAAGCGCATGTTTAGCTTATTCCAATGAATGACCACTTATTGCAAGGCTCTCTGAGCTCTCTGAGCTCTTACTCAATATTCATATAAAGTACGTATGTATCTAGCACAACAATCGACAGTTCTTTAACATTCTAAGTGATTTACATGTCGGCTTGGTGGCAAGAAATCAACGTGAGAAGCCAGAAGCAATCTTCATAGGCCTTATACATAGCTTCTCGATCTTAACTAGTCCGGCTCTCCGACTGCACATCAACGTAATGAAAATGGGTCAAATCGGTTGAAGCATACGCCTATCCCCTCCATTTTTTGTAACGGTAGGAAATAGAAATGTAGTGGCGTCAAAAATTTATGTGATTTGATGGCACGGTTATAGGGCGCCTTTGCTTAACCGTCAAACGGGCGATTAATTTGCTTCAATCAATATAATGACGCGACTTGGACTTAGATTACTTTAATTTATTTTGAATATTACATTGATAGACAAACGGATAGGCGGCCACGCGGACATATATATGTGTTTAGATCAGTCCAGAATACTGTCCCCATCAAGAATCGAAAAACTTAATGAACTCTTCGAAGCTTTGTGTTGGCGACTGCAAAGGATCCGTATGCATCGGTAGCGGGCTCAAAAAATGGTTTTAATTAAGTATGAATTGAATCTCGTAGAAGTTTGAAGCCTGCTTAGGAAGGTATTTAGTTACCGGCTGATCAAATAAGATATCATTCTTTAGCGGCTTTTCCATATTTTCATATTTGTGCGCTTATTTCAATATAAATAATCTTTGAAAATAAGTTCATCAAGTGCTTGTAATTTATTTGCATAAATGAATGACTTGACGTAACCCCCAAAAAAAAAGGTCCAATGATAATCATGTCATATGATCTCGATGGCCAGTTGACGATTACACAGTTATTGAATTTTTCTTCCAGTATATCGATTGTGTAATATGTTGCATCATTTTGCTAAAATCACATATAGTCAAGATCACAATAATCTGATTCACGCAACGTAAAATCAGTAGAATTCTCAGCATCGACATTTTCACATTGAAGTCTTGGCATATCGCAAACAATACCATTTGACTGCCTTTGTCGGCCTTTCTCGGATTACATTGCGAATGATGAGCTCTGTAGGTCCATTACGTTGACTATAAATTTGCTTATTTACGCAAGGAATGTAGTCCGAACAAATTCATTATTTTTATAATCAATTTTAACAATTTCTACCCATTCATGCAGAGGGAGTTCCAAACCGATCACTTGATAAGTCTGAAATTAATAAATTAATTAAAATTTTTCATGTATTCGCTTGAGAATGGTAAGACGGCAATACGTTCAAGCAATTAAAAAATCAAAGTTTCTATTTTTAACACTCGACCCTTTATTATTATTATTATTATTATTATTATATATATATATATATATATGTATGTAAAGTTAATATTTAATAAATAGTAAACATTTTCATTTCAAATACATTTAGAAACCGTAGACTAGAGAAATGTTTTTATTATGTTATTGTTGTTACACACATTTATAGCTATTATATCTACACAAACATTTAATTTAAGTGATATTTAATAATCCAAATGTAAAATTACATATATATAGTATTTTTTTATTATCAATTTTTTGTTAAATATTTTCAGCTTATTTCGAAATTGTTTTCATAATTCAAGTGTCGCTTAAATTAAGCAAGAGTGGCGTATTGGCAGTCGGATACGATGATGGACGTCTTTGGCGTTTACAGTTATTGATGTCTTCCCAATTGTGGCAAGACAAATTCGATTCTTCATAACGGGAGTAAGTCGAAGAGGCTGAAGATCGTCTTATAGCGTTGTTATAAGTATCGGTTATCACTTCCAGCAAGGCTTCATCACTAAAATTATCTCGATTACGTAATTTTTACAAAATTTATCCTTTTAAAACTAACCTGTGATAGCGATGATGTTCCAGCAAATTTCCAGCAGCAAATCGTAATTTCTTTGGTGATTCTAGACTCGATGATCTGGTCATAGAATTACGTGGTAAACTTTTATTTTTCAAAGAAGACCGTATACCTAAGTGATTAGCTACCGATAAATGTTGTTGCGCTAGTTGTTCACATCCCAATATTTTTTCTGGCTTCTCTCCTTCGTGCCTTGCATTTCCTTGATGGTTGTGTCGCTGCTGTTGTTGGTGTTGTTTTTCTTTCTCTTGTTTAATAGTACCTTGAACGTATTTGTTTAAGGCTTTTGAACCGCGTCGCTGCGACCTTTCGTAGGACCGTTTCTCACGTGCCTCGGCATCTTCACCCAATAGCCAATAAGTTCGTTGCTCACCTTTGCCTTTCATTGGTATAACACCACGTTCTTGATAATAGTAACCGCCCAATTTCTCTAGCAACTCTTTGCATTGTCGACTGCAGTGAATTTTTAAGGGCACTCCATTGGATTCCATGCGTGAGGCAGTGTTTACTGTATCACCGAATAAACAATATCGTGGCATTTTTAGACCTACCACGCCAGCGCACACTGGACCGGTATGGATACCAATGCGTAAAAGTAATTTATTGTCCGGACGATGCCTTATTTTAAATTCAGATACCGCATTTAGCAAATGGAGAGACATAGAAGCTATTTCGGCAGCATGTATATCATTATTACGTATTGGTAATCCCGAGACGACCATATATGCATCGCCTATAGTCTCTACTTTATAAACATCATAGTGCCCGATAATAGAATCAAAGCACGTATACAAATCATTAAGGAAATCTACCACTTGTAGCGGAGTGCTTTCCGCTGACATGGCAGTAAATCCCACAATATCACTAAAGTATATTGAAACCTGTTCATAGCTTTCGGGATCAACTTTATGTCCCTTTTTGAGTTGCTCTGCCACCGGTCGGGGCAACATTTCCAATAGCAAAGCTTCAGTCTTCTTTTTCTCTTCTTGCAATTGATCGGTACGCTCGTCTACTAAAGCTTCCAAATTATTCGCATATTTTTCCATCATAGCCATCATATTATCGAAAATATTGGGTTTCATACCCTTGCGTAAGGGCCTCAGTTTGGCACGTATGATTTTAAAGTCCGGTCTCTCCTCTGGCCGTTCAGACCAACACTCTTTTAAAATTTCACGTACACAATCAAAGGATGTTTCCAAAGGTTGCAATGAAGGCCGATACGGATACAAATTGTCCTGAACATGTAGCACTTTTTCTAAGCATTTCATGGGAGTTAAACCGGTTTCGCCAAAAGGACCATGTCGTACGTGAATTTCGTATAAAACAATACCAAATGAATAAGAATCGCCCTTTTGAGTGCCCATTACCAAGGAAGCGGGACCTTGGCGTAAGAGCTCGGGAGCACGGTATAAAAGTTCTAAAATGAAAGATTAACAAAAAAAAGAAAACACACGGGTGAGGTGTGATTGATTATCATCTTCTCAATCGCAGTCGGTAGGATTCGAACCTACGCTCCCAGAGGGAATCTGATTTCTAGTCAGACGCCTTAACCGCTCGGCCACGACTGCTACGTGTAACGTGATGTTGAAACTAAATAAGTAGTTTATCTCATTTTTTTTAAGAATAGTATAAAATTGCCAAAGTCTTTTGTTGATGATTAACGTATCCATGTGGAAAAATTCGTATATCTTTAAAAAAAACATTCTCTCTAACACGCTTCAAGTTATTTTTTAATGCAAGGCATTATAGAGGAAACTTCATAAACATTACTGCCTGTGACTATTATTGTTCTCTTGTGAAAATATTAATTTAAAAAAGAATTTGGGGTACGGGAATGATACCGTCAACTTGAGAAAAATATGATTAAAATTTTAACTAGAGCTTAGTTCTAAGGAGGAGCCTCAATTGTGAAATCCAATTTAAATTAAACATATGGGTCTTGTGGACATGGACAAACGCTTCGCAAATAAAATTCCTTCTGGAAGCGTCAGTTCGAATTCTACCAACTGACCAGAATTACTTTTCAGTCAACGGATTGAAAACCTAACAGTATTCACAAGGTAGCAGGCATTGCTGATGTAGAATTGAGTTAATATCGGTTTGTAGGTTACTGAAAATTTAACAATTCAAAATAGACGAATAGAACAGCACACGTGACTTGTCAACTGATTGCTGAACAGCTACTCTTACACATAAGATTAAACAAGTAACAAATTCAACTCACCAAGTTCTTTTATGTGATACCCATATCGCTGGTACTATTAATAAAAAAAAAAAGACTAATCGCGATGTCTATCGCATTCATTTTAAAATTAACCCATTTTTACGCAGATGATATATATCTTCGTTTAAGGAGTGTACAAAATAGTCTTAGACATCCAGTCTTGTTTGACTTATGATAAATAAGCATAAAACCTCAGACATGCACACACCCACAGACATGGCTAAACTCACTCAGAATTTAACGCTGATTAAGAATATATACGCTTTATAGCGTCTCTGAAACTTCCTTTTCGGAAAGAACAAAATGAGTATTCCCCCATGATGGGTGTAATAAAAAACCAAAATATAAAAAAATCTTTCTCTTACCATAAACTTTCCTCTCGAATCTACTAATCACAATTGTCTCGATATTATATAAAGAAATCAACCTGATCGATCTTAAATAAACAAAAGAATACTTTGTACAGTGCCTGTAACTGCTGACGATGAATTTAGTTCGTTTAGAATATAATGCTCATATTCGTGCATATGTTAAGCATGCGAATGCTCGCATCTTAAGTAAAAGTCGTAATGCGTGCACTGTGTGTTGTACTTCCACTGTATTTCGAAAAAGCACAAATACGTTACAACTCCACTAAAGACGGTGCACAGAGGAAACATCTTAGACGAAAGTGTTACGAAATATATTTCAGGAGGATCTTTGATCTCTTCATTCTAGTCGGCCACTCATTCAGTCAGATTACAGATACCGCACTGTCTCGGCATCTTTACACAAGCTTTACATGATAAACAAGTTTGAGTTCCGTTTAAACCCATAGTTGTTTTGCGGCGCAAATAACTTTAAAAGTACTTTGTTTTTTCATTCGTAGATCTAGTCTTTGCTCATTATATCTATGATGCCAATAACCCCGATTTTAGCATTCAAATGTGGTCGTGAAAGTCGAAACAATACGACTAGTTTCTTAGTTTAATTTTTATACCCAATCCTCGAAGGATGGGAGTGCAATATTTACAAAAGCCAGCAGAAAAGCTCCGAAATCCCATCCAGTACATATGTTCTTGATCGGCATTAAATTCTAAATCGATCCTCATAGGCCTGTCAATCTGTTTATCCGCTTGAATAACTGTACACGCTAAACATTTTCCAGCTCCACCTATTATATTCAATTTGGCCAAAAGATGTGTCTGACAAACTGAGAGCACCTCTACATTCAACAGCAAAAGAAAAGAAAAATTATTTTTTGACGAACTGAGCATAAACTACAACATGCCCCAACGAAAAGAACGTTCACATATACTCTATGGTGATCTGATAACATCTGTATAGAAATGGAAAAGTCTGCAATGTCTACCCAATATCGTAGTGTGGCATTTCCATTTCCATTTATGTTTTTTTTCTTTTTTTTTTTTCTTTCAAATTAAAGGTGGATGATGGGTAGGAAACATAGTCCGCTATACTCGCGTTTGTATACAACTCTCTTCGAATATCATTTGTTATTAAAACTCTCAAACTCGAATTTAAAATTTGACGTACAATGCTCTTAGTTAAAATCTATCGAATAAATTTGAAAATGCGCATGATCCGTCCAAAGTAGCGTTTACATTAGCCACAACATGAACAGTCTCGGAATAAAAGTTTAAAAGCTTTATTCATTTATAACATGACACCCTATGATTTATAACAGATGTCGAATCAATATTTCAAACGACTTCGATAGTCACACATCATCGGTTAAGGAGTCAATAATTGGGAGAAAAACACATTCAGGCGGCGCATATCCGAAAATCGTCTTAATTATCTTTTTCCCCATTTTTCCTTATTTTTTTAAATTTTTCCACTTATTCGCTTTCACTTACTTATAGACTTAACTGCTATACTTTGCAAATCGATAGAGTTGTCTTCGATGCCCTTTTTAAAATCGAATAAACCGAAATCGCTTAATTTCACCACCCAGCGCGAGTCAACCAAACAATTCGAAGTGCATAAAGAGCCATGGCAGCGTATAGGCGATTCGTGTAAATAAATCACACCCTTCGGTTAAAATGATTTTAAAATTTTTATCAATTATTGTATATGCGTTGCATTCATTTCTTAACTTACTCTTATAATGTCGGCTACCATTGACGCAATAAACATATTATCCAGCTTCACATCGTCATTTTCTAGTATGTCCTAGATAAACGGAATAAAATTGAATGAATATTTTCCATTCGACCATCAACCGGATGGTGTTGCTCTATATACTAATTACCTTTAAACTGCCTCTGGTACAATATTCGGTTATAATACATATATTGGGGGGCTCAGTACAGGCTCCAATAAAAGCGCAAATATTATCATGACGAGTATCGCGTAACTTTAAAAAATACAAAATATATATATATATGTGTGTATATATATTTATACATGTAAGTTACCAATTTAAGCTCCTTTTTCATTTCGCGCGTAATGTCGACACATTTTTTACGCACTTTTTTTATCGCGTACAATTGGCCCTTATATAAACCAATCGGTGTAAAAATAGTGGTATAACGAAAATCTGCATCGGGATTAGAACTTAAACTAACTTGACTGGTACGTATTAAGGGATGAGTGGACTATAATTAATCGCAAATAATCATAAATCACAATCGTTACAAGTCATGTCATATTCCAAAAAAAAAAAAAACAAAAAATCCTCACTCTTGTTTGCTTTTGTGCATTATTCGCTTCCTTTTCCTTTTCGTTTTCATGCATTTGTACATCGCGAAAGTCAATTTTCCACAAGAGGCTATCAAGCTCTTGTTCGTAACGCCAATTACGATATAATACCAATGATACTATTCCTAATATTAGGAGAGCGCCACCGGCAATACCTGCAGATATTTCGCCAGTGTAACCTGCAAAATTCACACAATTATTATACGATATATTAGAAAAGAAGCGAGAATAAATATTTGACATAAACCGAATATTTACAATACCCATCAGTAGTTTGCATTAAAACAGGAACCCTTCCCAATAAATGCAGTAAAACTGACATTAGCTATGTAGAGGTAAGATAGAGCAAAAAAAAACTATTTGCGTACGATAAAAAGTATGCGAGTATACGATTTTACAAATATCTGTCGTTGTATAACCCAAATATTTAACTAGAAATCACATTTTATTAAGCTTAAGCTGATTTTATAACAAATTGCATTGTTTTTCTCAATCGATTGAAGAAATTTTTAAACTTAAAAAACAATATATATACGGTATATATATATATATATATATATATATATTATGTATTGCTGTGATTTCAATAGAGAGACAGATCGATATAGAAATTCATTTAAATGATTTCCTTAACCTAGGGTAAACGAACATTCATATAACTTTTCGTCGACTTGAAAGAGTTGCATAAACGTATGATAAACTTAATATAACTTTTGTGGTTTATATAATTGCAAATAAAACTGCGCTTACTAATGCATTTCTCGCCGGTAAATCCACATTTTGGTTCGGCTTCAGGGCGACCCGCACCTGCCCAAGCTATTTTCCCGTATAATTTGAGATCCTGCATTTAATGAGATAGAAAAAAATAATTCTATTATATATCTTCTTACACACACACACGCATTATCTATTTTACAAACAATAGCTCAGATATAACTACCAGAGCTCACCTGATAACGAATCTTGGTTTCAAAGGAATAGAGGAAAGTTTTTAATTGAAAAAAAAAAAAAAAAAAAAAAAAAAAAAAAATACAAGAGAATGTAAAAATTACTTAAACGCATTTACTTTATAATGGTCTGTTTATATATACATATTACATAGTTTATTTGTTTGCTACTTACTGGCAATTTATCACTGCATGTTTGTCTAAATGTACCCACTGGCACAAGACCAGGAACTGTTTTATTTCTACGATTACGTGCTAAGCCACGAGCTAATACTGTATAATTACCAGCTGCGTCTCCATTCTCATCAATATACACATGATAACTATGTATAAACGTAGGGAAGGAGAAAAGATTTTTCAAAAATAATTCATGCGCCACTTACCCCATAGCACTTAAATATTTGACGCCTTTGATAGCCTCAATTATGGCGGTGCCATTCCTAGCATCACCACCTGCTTTAAGTACCTTTATCAAGGCATCGGCATACAAATGAACGGCATCATATAAATATGCTGCTTCGGCGCTTATCTGCGAGCGAAGAAGATACCATTTTAATAGAACATGAAAAGGATGTGGTAAAGCAATAAACCAAATAAGAATGTTATACAAGAGCAGGTGTATTACGAGGGAAGCAATACGATGAAGTAAATGTAAATTGCCGAATAATAAAATTTGATGATCCGCAAGAACATTCTTATTTACTTTTAAATGAATTGTTTACAAACCTTTTTGGTGCCTCCAAAAAATCCCAGCGGATTGGGAAAATTGAACGGTGGTTGTTCCATATATTTGTTAACCTTTAAGCAAAATTTCGAAAATAAAAATTATGACGTATAAATTAACTTAAATGAAATATGTGAACAAAGCAACAACCAAAATATTTCCTGTATACGAAAATCACAGACACACAGTATGTGTTAAAATGAATGAATATAAAAACTGCCTAATATTTATTAAAAGCGAAATACCCACAATGTAGGGAAAGCAATGAGAACAATTTGTAAGTTTTATTGAACGCCAATTATGCAGCTCGCAATTAAGGAAAATTTCCTGCTAATAAATAAAAGTGAAAGTCTAGCCCTATAAGAGTTTTAACAGAACTATAAGAACTATAAGAAGAAATTTTATTATATCCGTAGGGATGTGCTCGTGCGCTCAGTATAGTGAAGTGGGACGAAACAATAATGATATCACGACATGACAACGATAAGATAGCAGATCTTTTAGCAAAGACAAAAATGTGGACTAAGCACAGTGACTTAACCTCACACCTGTGAATTTTTATTTACCTATATATTACATATTACATATAATATATATGCATATTTACAAATGTGTATATATGGATATGATTGGGATATATATATATATATATATATATATATGTATAAACATATATAAAAATTCACCGACCTTTGCCCACCGTCCGTAGTGCCCACATATGTAATATATAAAATTAATCATGAAAATCTTCCAAGCGTTTAAGGCATTCTAGAGCTATCCGAAAAACGTAGTTGCTTTGCGACATTCCGAATCCACCGACATCGAAACGTCGCACATATACGAGTCACTGTATACGTAAAACACTAAATTTAGCCCACCTCGTCCCTTTTCTACTTGTCCCACTTGCTTTCCTCTTGATTTTTTTTTTGTTTAATTTTCTAATATTTCGGAAAGCCTCTTAATTCACTAACAAAAAAAAAAATACATAAAAAAAATATATTATTTAAAATATGCCTTCAACTCTTGCAAAGTCAATAATTGCTCCTCATCCACGTCATGGCTCATCAGCAGCAGTACGTGACCATAAATGAACCGAAGGACGATCCAAATTCGATTCCCGTTAAGATAGATCACAAATTGTACTTTACTGCGCATGTGCGATGTTTATAATGAAATCCTAGTTAGAAATTATTGTCACCTTTGATGAGCACCTTTGAAAACTCCAATAATTCGTGTGCGTTCTTCCGAGCAGAATATTTCACGGCAAGAATGACTATACTATTTTGAAGATATCTGTTTGCGTTCTGTCGTTCGTCCGTGTTTTCAAGTTCTAATTAAATTAATTAAACTTTTCCTAGAAGAAGCGCTGAATCTGAAATTTTTGTCCCTTAGCTTCCTCGACTCTTGTTCGAAAATTAGAAAAATCAATCCTTACTTCTAAAGATGATTATTAAAGTGCTGAGGATTTTTCAGGTTCAAATTTATAAATTTGAAATGCAGTTATATCTCTGAAATTCGCCTGAGTGGCCGAATAGGCCCAATGCTCTCGACTAACAAATCAAGCGTCGTGCGTCCAAATCTCCAGTGCGGTATAATCTACAATAAAACCGGCACCCTTAGATGTACTCTGGCTAAAATATTAATAACAATATTTCTATGAAATTTGTTATAATTAATTTCGTATCTTCTGGATGCGTAATCTGGAATGGCTTTAATTCTTTGAAATTTTTTATAACGCGGCTTGTACATAGCGTTCACGCAATAGTTCTACATGCACTACATGGTAATGAGTAACAATGACTTAGTATTTTTGTGCTGAAATGGTAATACAATGTTTAGTTTTCCCTGTCCATATGTAAGTTTTCTACAATTTTTTCATTTTTATAGTCCTAGTGAGTCCTAGTGAGGCTAATTTTTAACTTAGCAAAGACACAAAGCAATTTCTAGCACAGACAGAAATCTCAAAAAAAAAGAGTTATTTGATGGCGTTCACTCCGATAAAAACTTCGATTTAGATTTAATAATAGATTTAATAAAACGATTTTACAATTTTTCACTATTTTTATAAAATTTACTACATCAGCTGTTAACTTTGCACCCGTATGATGCGTAGCAGTCGTGGCCGAGCGGTTAAGGCGTCTGACTAGAAATCAGATTCCCTCTGGGAGCGTAGGTTCGAATCCTACCGGCTGCGTCGTAAGAGCATACAATGCCAGCTTTTTTTTTTCTTAAGCTTTCATTTCACAATATTTATGCCTCGTTCCCAAACTTTTATGCCAAGACCCCTCTTATGTGGTAATTCCCGCTCAATAGAGCAATTCTTATTCAGTTCGTATTGTTTCATATAAAATTCACGTGGAGCATGAAATGCTGATACATGTTTATTGGCACAGTAGTAATAACGAATAATTATTTCATCTATCTACACACAACTTTTATAGCCTACTTTACGTTCAATTTTCTTTACCAATACCTCACTAAATTGAATTAATAATTCCAGGCATATCTGGTCTGGTTGTTTCTGTTACTATGCGATTGATAGGTCTGAGTGCAAGTTTATTACCTTGCAGTAAAGTCTTCGCCAGACAAAATTCTCTTTTCTTGCAAAAGCTGGTTTCCTCTCATCAAAGCCAGAGTACAGGTTTCCAATTCTGAGTTCTTGTCATTGTGACCTTCAGCTGATAGTTGACAATTATCCAAATCATTGATTCTCGAATGTATGACAACATGTTGATAATGTTTCCTAAGTGCATTCAATTGATCATAACCGTTACGTGTTTGTTGCAACTTCAATGTTTGTTTTTCGTTTCTCAAGGTTTGCATTCTTCCATCCATTGTACAAAACGTTTTATTACCGCGTAAGATAGAAATATAAAAATTTTTTAATTTCTCTTATAAATAAATGAAACGTTCTTCATTGTTTTTTTTCACCGATGTATTGAGAACATCGCAATCGATATCCTTGTCTTGAAATTCATATGTAACTACTCCGTAGTTATTTGATTTGCCTCTTAAAGCCCTGTTTAAACTCTCTTCTAAATAAGTAAAACGTTCTTCATATTTTTTTCTCACCGACGTATTGAGTACATCGTAATTGTTATCCTTCTTTCGAAATTTACATTTAGAAGCTTGGTGAGCTTCCTTTAATCCATACTCATTTAATTTGAGTCTTAAAGTCTTTGGTTCGTCTTCAGTGTTCACATAAGTCCATCCATACCTTTACACTAAATCGCTATTACGTGTCGACCTTCATATGCCGCCTATCTGCAGGCGTAATATCTATTTCTGGTGACTTGTTGCATGCCTCTTCGTTTGGATGGTGAGAATTGTCATCACTCTCACCATGATCATGGTTACATACTTTATCTCGATTCTCGATTAAACCACATTCTGAAGGTATTTTATAAAAGTTATCCCCATTCTCTGTAAATCTATTTAAAACTCTCTCTTCAATTAAATTTAACATCTCTCTTCATAAACATAATTTGTTTACTTGGCCAGCAAAAACAGATGTCTCTGAGAGTTTAACGTGGGTACACTACTGTGAAAGTTTAATTCCATGGTGCCCGATGGCACACGGTGTGTGACGCGCTCAAATTCCCCGAGATTGACAATCCCCGCAACATACGGTACCGAAATCGGCGCACTCGTTGCCGTGAGGAAGATTGGGTCCTCAAGTACCAGACGAGATACGTTATGGTCGCATCCCCTTTCTGGTGAGAACGAGACACTATCTAAAACTTCTGCCTTTCTGTCGGCAAGGCAACCGGTTGCGATGCGATTCCATATCGAGTGAAAGCACTTTTTGGCTAACCGGCCTGCAGAAACAGTAAGCTAGTGGACGTTCAGTACAATCAACGCGCACAACTTCTGTGTTTTTTGTATCCTATCTCCTTCTCTTCTGTTTTGGTACGCAAGTTATCGTTTTTCAATACTGTTGGACGATTTAAGTTGGGCTTTTCTATATACATCATATTTATTCTGGAGTAAAATCTCTCGTATTCTGATTGAAAAATAAATTGCAATATTGACTGCCTTCCGCCCAGAAATTCCTTGCACATTTGAGTCGATCAGCGAACACCTAGCTTTCTCCATAACAATTTGACATATCCTCGCTAATAACTCAATTTACTGTGGTGTATATGGTGCAATAACTTGGTGATGGACACCGCTTTCTACTATTAATTATATAAATAATCTTACAATTTCGAATTCGGTTATTCAGGGTCATTGTCAATTCTTAAAACTTTTATGATTTTATCTGTTTGATTTTGAAACAAGTCTTTTATTTCTGCAAACTTACTCACAACTTAGTTTTAACCTTTGATGGAACAGATGAGCGTTTTATGCGCATAATCATCTGTAAAATTTAGCATGTATCGTGACCTGCCAAAACAGTGAACCTAAACATACTAAAGTACTAATAATTGTTTAGCACGATTAACTATCACATTAGACGGTAGTCTTGCGAATTTTTCCTTCGGCCAAGTCACACATCTATCGTTTGTAACGTTGAACTTTACACTTTTCATAGCATCCGAAGCCGTTTCCTTAAGCACTTCATTGTTTGCACGCCCAGTACGCTTATGCCGTTAACTAAAATCACTAATAATGGTTATTGATGCTTACTTGCAAGTCCTTGGCTACATTATATTGGAACATGCCATTTGCCGTGGCTGCCAATAACAATTACATTTGCAGCTGGATTAAGAACCGTGCATTCCTTCCTCATGAATATGACCTTACGGCCTCTTTTTTCTATTTTCGAAGCTGACATCAAGTTGATGCATAGTGTTAGCGCGAACATTGAAGGTTACAGCTTTAGTTTTTACAATCAACGTCTATAGTTGCTTCAATAGTACCGACCATGTCTGCATGTATTGTTAAGCTATATGTCGTTATGAAATCGAGGTTCTTACGTTGAAGAACGAACGGAGATACGTGTGGATGCGCATGAGTCAAGGAAAAATTTGTTCCTCTTGACGTTCTTTGATCTGCACAAACCGATCATAGCTTTATCCATCTTTCCACTGAATTTCTTTTGACACTTGATTGCAATATGGCCTAATTTATGCACTTATAGCATTTCGACTTCTGGGATTTAAAGTTCGTCTGTTTGCTGCTTTTAAAGGCGCAAATGTCTAAAATGTCTGCTATATATGCCACTTACAATAGTTTCAATGGAATTGCATTGCCAATTATCTTTGTTCTTGAATTTTTAATTCCCATGGTCATCGATTTATAATCTTCTGTGAGTGCAGTCAACATGATCGAAACTAACTGTTCCTCGTCAAGCTTAAGCGCAGCACTTGTCAATTTATGTGCTTTAGCTTTACTGAACCATACTGAGCTTACTTTGCGTAAGGCTAACACGTCTTGCTAAACGTGTAGCCTTCCATCCACTTCCGTGGATCTTGCTTCCTCGCAGCTTTTGAAGAAAATCGTTATTTTTTTTTTTTTGTTTCTCATAAGCAGGCTCATAACCTGTTGGCATAGTAATAATAATAAATGTTTATTTGATATATATATATATATATACATATATCCGATAGTCAAAGTTAGGTGTCGATTTTATATACCAAAGGTGTTCGTGGCAAGCTACATGCTTATCGTCCTTCGTCACATCTTCAGACAGGATTTCATACGTGCCAAGCTGAGGTCCTTACGCAAGGGTATGAAACCCAATATTTTCAATAATATGATGGCTATGATGGAAAAATATGCGAATAATTTGGAAGATTTAGTAGACGAGCGTACCGATCAGTTGCAAGAAGAGTAAAAGAAGACTGAAGCCCTGCTATTGGAAATGTTGTCCAGACCAGTGGCAGAGCAACTCAAACTACGAAACTCTTTCAATACACTTTGATGATATTCCTAGGATTTAGAAGGAATGTACTATGTTTTCTGGTCCTTTACACACGCATACATTTATTCCCAAAAATTCGCTGTGATTATATTACTTAGGATATTTGTTGATAGTAAACAATCTGGAATTCTATTAAGAATTTCCTGTTTTTTTGCACACATTCTTCATTAGATTTACACATATTCGTTTGAGCGTTGCCTCGTTCCCAAATTCTAACAAGAAAGCCCTACTTGGCTGTGGCTAAATCTTACATGGGTCTACTGCTATTTTGTTTTAAAATAAGTAAGAGAGAGTAAGACAACATGTGAGGCAATATTGCATCTGTTGAGTAATGAGGAAAAGATTTAATTTTTCTGCTTTCGAAAATGAAGTTTTTTCTCATTTTTTGCCGTACTGTACGCGTCTCCTTTGCCCGTTTTGGCCCTTTTCCCATGTAAACCTAGTTGTAACCTTTTTTAATGTTTTTGTCAAATTTGCTTACCACAAACATTATACAGAAGGCACAACGGACAGACGGAAATCAATAGAAATTGCTGATCAAATGGAATTTTTTGTAACTAGAAGAAGTTTAAATATTATTTAAAGAAAACGCTTACCTCTTTAGCGAATTGGGCAAACGAGACCGGTGCCGAAGGATATATACCTAAATAGGATTGAAAGGCAATCTCTGCCAATTTATCTGATCTCTCCAACAGTAAGCCTCTTAAATATTTGTCAGGCGATGATGGATCGTATTGCTCGATATCAATACCTACGACAAAATAATCACCTCTGGCTAAGAGACCCTTACGTTGTAAACTCACCATTAAGCCCACATGTTCGTAATAATGGCCGAGGATAAGATAAACTGGAAACAACCAGCTTAGTAATGCTATTAGAGATGCAACGGAAATTAACAAGTTTACTTACTTCTGGTATTAGTGTAAGTATACTCAACTAATTCATCAAAGGGATTAACCTTAAAGCCGTGATGATAAATTGCTTGCCAAGTTTTAACGTCGCGTATGACAATGCCTGCGCTGTTTAATATGGTTAAAATGGTGTCGGCTACCGGCTGATATAGACTGTCTGCATGATTCAGATATAGAAATGTTATCTAAAACGTATACGAAAACGCCAGTGGCAAGAAAAACAAATCACACAAAATAAAATAATAAATACGTAAGAGAAAGGCAATGATTGATAGTCGGAAATATTGTTCTGTACCTGTGTCCAGTTGAAAGCTAATAATAAGGACACCACAGACTTGGAGATTTGGGTATCTGGCGGACGAGTACGGGCGAAAGTAGGAAAATCTCTTTTATTAGAAGTGTCACGATGTGTGCAATACTTGAAAATTTGCAAAATTCTATATTTTGTCAATTTTTTCTCCTTTCTTTAAGGTCTTACATATGAAATCATAGGTAAATTAAATGCGGCAGCCATACGTCCCTCGTGTACACAAGTCTCTTGTGGTCCTATATAAGCCACCGCTTGCTCGGTCCATAGCGAAGCCGTCTGACGTATGCTGTTAACCTCATCACCATAAGTTTCGGCTACCAAAAAATCCAAAGAATGACCTAAATCTTTTAAAGGACCGCGATTAATTTCATTAACAGCCAAACTAATAGCTCCGGAAATTGTTATACCTAAGTAACATTAGGCAATAGCTTAGCAAAATGTGAAATTATTTAACCATTTTACCTAATATTTACCCGGTTTTTGATAATCCAAATTACCAGGACTTCTTTGTGAACCAGTTAAATAGCCCAAGGTAAAGACTTCTGCTTGTATCAGCGAGGTAAAATAGGTGAAAATTATTATTAAAAAAGCAATCAATACAAATGTTTTGACGGGCAGTAATAACGATGACAATAAATGCAACGCTGTATAGCGTAACAAACCCCTCATTACGTGTCGCACCGGCTAAGATAAGAAGGAAACCACCTTTCTTTAACAGCGCGATCTAAAATACTTTTATTTTTCTACTTCTTCTGTAAATCCTTATAGGACATTTTTCAGTTGTGTAAGGAATTTATCTCAATTTTTTGCGTTTCATATTTTCTCTTTTTCCTTTCTTTTTACAATTCTTTCAAATAGTTGTACGTTTTACTGAAAAGAAAAAAAGATATCTATACAAAACAAGTAAGACTATAATTTTCGTTTGCAACCGAATCTTTTGCACCCATCACCGTTATCCTAAAATAAACAAAAAAAGTAAAAAATTAAGTTTTCGTGCTCTGTAATTATGAAGGAACCGTAACTGATTTTTTCTATTTTTTCAAAATTAAACTTTTTGTCCCATAGACATTTGGGCGTTGTAGGCTTGTCCTTCGAAGAGTTTAAGCCACTTACGAATTTCTTTGCAAACTTGTAGGCGATGTCTCCATTTTCGCTAACGCAAGAAAGTTTACCACAATTACTACACAGTAGCGCAAACAGACAGATGGACAGACCTGGACAAATATTTGCATATATTATGGGATTTTTGAAGCTTGTTACTGCACCTTATAAAGCTATTGAACAAACAAATTAAATTTTGATACACTATAATATTGGCTAGACGTGATCAACTTTTCCCCGTTTTTATACAAGTACTACAGCATCGCCCACAGAATATACGTTGAAATTTTTAAACCTTTATCTGCTACGGTTTATGAGTAAAGAGCAAACACCAATTTTTTATTTCTTTTCAAAAATAGAGATGTTCTCAGTTTACGTGGAGTTGTCGGCGTGTCTTTCGAACAATCTGACCCATTTTTAACAGCATCCTGAGTGCAAGAACTTTCAATGTTCATATCAAATTTGAAGTCGATGATAGCTTTATTTTTTGCGTCCAGGAGAATGTTTAAAACAGACATTACACGGACGGACAGACGGACAGACGGACATGCTCAAATCGATTAAGAATTTGATGCTGATCAAGGATATATATGAACTTTGATGCTTTCTTTTGGATGTTGCAAACATTTCGACACAATGACTATACCCTTCCTTCAGCGATAGGTATAAAAGGGATACATGCACGTATCAGGTGTTCAGATTAATTCTTATACAGAATGACGTCACATAACACTCTAAGCTATTCTGTTAAAATGTAAGTAACATAGTTTTCCAAAGCTGTGGATAACTGGATCTCTGTGGAGCGGCAAAAGGCACACCGGCCACGCTTAATTCTTACGACAATGCTGTTGCATCGTGACAGGGAATAAGCGACGGGATGCTCATATAATATATGACAATAAAGCTTAATATTCTGCTCATAGTTAAATGTACGGCATCCTTTTGTTGGGCTTCAGATGGGGAGAGCGTATTATAAATAGCTTCTAGCAAACAGGACAATCACTAGAAAACACAATTTATGCAATTAAGCCGACAAACGGGTTCATTATGCCAAAAATCTTGGTATATATCTTAGTTGGTTAGGATAAAATCTTATAGAATCTTATGATAATTAACTAATAAATGTATCTGTACATGCTCCTCTCCTTCATTTTACGAAGAGGACAACTTGCTGGTCGTAATCTCTAACGGTTCATTCTCATACGAATTACTGCTCAACACAGTGGCTCTATATTATTCTGCACCGATAGCACTCGTATTTAAAGGCTCAACTTCCTTCTCTGCTATATATATATATATATATATGTCTAGATATAGACAATATATATTATACACATATTTAATATGAAAACACGAACACATATACGTTCATAAAGGGTGTGAAAATGGGCAAAATAGCACGCAAAAGAGCTTACAATAGGCCCATCTTTTATTATGCCGATTAATTTAGAATCATAATCTGAATTGATCTAAGCATGTCTGTCCGCCTTTCCGTCTGATGTCTGTCCATGTAAATTTGTCTTCAAGCTATAGGTCGCAATTTTTGATATGATGATCGATGAAATTTTGTAAAGTGAAGTGTTGTGACCCAAGGACGAACGCAATATAAAATGGTTCGGCTTGGTCTACTTTTTCACCCACTCCCTCTATAGCTCTATTCTGAAAACTTGTTATATGGAAAACAAATGCAATTTTTTAACAAACATTTTTAGGCAAAAGTGCGTAAGTAGTAGTATTTGCGCGTTGGTGTGAAAAGGGTTTGGATCGGCTGAGGCAATTTTTGAACACCCTCATATAACGAAAACTAAACTTCATACGCAAAAACAAATATAATTTTTAATGCTTCATGACGAAAATTATGTTAAAATAAGTAATTTAACACAAAAAAATGAACTGTGCCAAATTTGGACCATATCGGTCTATTTTGCAGATCCTACCCTAATGAACATTTTCACAAAATTGGTCCTTTGTAAAGCGGAATGGTTTAAGTTTTGTAGTAGTATCAATAGCAATTTCAGACAAAATAAGAATTGTGTGGGACAAGGTGATGCAGCGTCCGTCTTGCCTGACAATAATGTTCTTGCTTGTTTGAAAAAAAAAAAAAAACGAGTAAGAAAGTTATATTTGGCGGGGCCGAATCTCGCATACCCGCCAGTATGTTTTTTGCATTCTACTCTTCAAGTTCTTTTATTTGATATCCATATCGATAGTATTATTAAGCAAAAAGTAATCGCGGTGTCTACCATATTCATGTTAAAATTAACCTATTTTTGAACAGATAATATATCCTTTTTTAAGGAACAAGGTACAAAATAGTTGTAAACATTCGGTCTTGTTTGCCTTATGATAAATACGCATAAAATCTCAAACATACCGACACACAGACATGCCTAAACCTACTCAGAATTTCACGCTAATTAAGAATATATGGACTTTATAGCGTCTCTGAAGCTCCCTTTTGGGTTTCACATACATGATGGAAAAAAAGAACAAGAAGATGAGTATACCTTTGCCTTATGATGGTCGATATAAAAACGTAGTCAATATGTGTATAATATATGTATGTGTATTGTGTAATATGAAGGCTTACATGCACATACAAAATGATAAAATACTTTTTTCCCGACCGTATTTTTTCCATCTTTTCATCGATTTATTTATTGCTTACACATTGTCTGAGTTAGATAGAGCAATATGTCGCGTGTAAGAATAATAAGAAAGAGGGAAATAAAAGCGTTTCCTGTATAAATATATTTTGCTTTCAAAATAATTTCATTGTACAGTTTATTAACATTAATCTTATTGCGAGATTGATTGAATGTCGTTAAAATGAAATGATTTTCGTTACGGGTTTAAAATTTTTATACTACTCTGTCTACCAACGGCTTCAATATTTGACAATACCAATGCGTCCTATCTAAAGAGAGGGAGAGAGAATAGAATAGCATGACAACAATAGAATTTTCAAAATAACTTTAACTAACATCGTAACAGTTACGCAGCATCGTCACGATTTTTACGATTACTCAGCAACCAGCAAGAAAGTATAAATGTAATAGTAAAGTAAATACATTGGACTTACCTCGAATCTTCATTGTATTCATTCAATATTTCTTAATCAGCATCTTTATATTCTTAATCAGCATCAAATTCTTAATCGATTTGGGCATGTCCGTCTGTCCGTCTGCATAATGTCTGTTTTAAGCATTCTCCTGGACACAAAAAATAAAGCCATCATTGACTTCAAATTTGACACAAACATTGAAAGTTCTTGCACTCAGGGTGCTATTAAAAATGGGTCAGATTGGTCGAGAGATACGCCCATAGGTCCACGTAAACTGAGAACATCTCTGTTTTTGAAAGAAAATAAAAAATTGGTTCTTTACTCTTTTCTCATAATCTATAGAAGATAAAGGTTTAAAAATTTCAACGCATATTCTGGGGGCGATGCTGTACTACTTGTATAAAAACGAGGAAAAGTTGGCCACGCCTAGCCAATATTATAGTGTATTAAAATTTAATTTGTTTGTTCAATAGCTTTGTAAGGTGCGGTAACAAGCTTCAAAAAACTTACAAAGTATATGAATTCTTGGCCAGTTTCAAGTCGAAATGCACCTACACATATCCGCCTATTCGTCTGTCCGTCTATCTGCCTGCGCTACTGTGTAGTATTTGTTGTAAACATTCTCCCGTTAACGAAAATTAAGAGATCGCCCATAAATTTCCAAAAGAATTCGTAAGTGACCTAGACTTTTCAAGGGGTACACCTACCACGCCCAAACCACTTTGCGAGAAAAAGTTTTATTTTGAAAATAGAAAAAATCGGCTGCGTCCCCTTCCTATTACAAAGCACGAAACTTTAATTTTTTTTTAATTTTTTTCTTTTAATTTTTTTTTGTCTTTTTTTACAATAACGGTGATGGGTATAAAAGATTCGGTCACGACCAAATATAATTTCGTTAATTGTTAATGCAAGTTTACATCAAACGTATATGCGAAATATTTCACAGTAAAATTCACATCGAAATGTAGCGCCAAATATTCGAGATGATAACATATTCATGATATAACACGCATACTTAATAGAAAGGTACTAGAAATGATATATGATTTAAATATAATCGAAAAATAGCAAAGAAATAGGAAGCGAAAATATGAATTCATATATCAGCTGTAAAGTGAACTTGAGCGGAGTGTCAAAGAAGAAATTTTTCAGATATACATAACAATGTGTTTGAAGGATGTAGTGGATGAAAGAGCATGCGACCAGTGCAACAAATGGAAAGAATTATGTAAGAAATATGTTCCGTGCATATATGTATAACTTGCATACGGTCACAGACGTTTCAAAAATTTAATCTAACCTCTGCAATGCGTATAAAAATATTCTTCGTGCTACCTTACCATACCTCAACTTGAGAATTTTTAATTATACTTAAGCACAACGGATGCTTCCTTTGTAAATATACATCTATACATAAACATGAAACAAAAATAAACAAATGAAGAAGAAGCATCATTTTAGAATGCAATCTCGATGCTCATCAGGTAGAGCGAAATACATTTTAGATCAACAATCGCATTTCCACAATCCAAATATATAAAATTCTTGATAACTGCCTCCTGGCGATACTACTACGATGATATTGAAAGTACTGCAAATAACATTTAAATATATATCTCTGTGTATGTATCTTACTGGTTTCATCTGAATCATCTCTTCAATCTTCAAGTTATTTTATCTTGCAATCTTGTTACTTACTTCGATCTATTTTTCTACTCGATTTCTTAAAGTTGCAGATCTCCAGGATCTCAGTTTAATCAAGAAAAGGCCTATCAATGTCTAAGATTTGTGAATTTAATATTGGATATGAAATAACAGGCCTTATGTACTCATAGCGCTTGGGATGATGAGAAATCTTGGTTGGTCCTTAAACAAAGACTTAAACACTTCTCTTAAACGGCATGAAATGGATACGGAAAAGTTTTTACGAGCAAGACATTTTCATATGCTCCATAGAGCAACGGCGATGTAAGACGTCATTCCTACTAGAAACGATGGCACTCACAGGTAGGGGCGTGAAACCCGTGCAGTTTATACGCGTTGCCCAGCATTGTGACCAGCAGACACACCTAAACAGTTAGGGGCAAAGGCGGATTTGTTCTTTTTATTAATATTCTTTCGAGATGTAGACAGAGTGGCCTGCATTATTGCAAACAAATTTCAAAATATGTCTAATTTGCTTAGAATCATTTTAAGCTTTTTCAGGCGTCGCCTTCTCTCGAACATTATATGAACATTAGCTTTTCCTCTTTCTTTTTTATACCTATCACCGAAGGATGAGAGGTATATTGATTTTCTTAAAACGTGTGCAATGACCAGGAAGAAGCTTCGGCGACCCCATAATGTAGATATATATATATATATATATATTCTCGATCAGCGTCGAATTGTAAATCGATTTAAACATGTACCCGCGTGTCTGCCTATATAATGTCTAATGTAAACATTCTTCTCTATCGACGGCAAATTTGGCAGAAACATTGGAATTTCTTGCACTCGGAGCGGTATTAACAATGGGCTAAATAGGACACGCCGACAGCACTACGTAAACTGAGAGCACTTGTTTTGTTCATCGGAAATAGAAAATTGCTTTTTTGCTCTCTGCGCTCATAACAGGCAAATCTACAAAGCCTTGCATGTATACTCTACGGATGATACTGGAGTACATGTGCAAAAATGGGAAGAGTTGTTCACGCCAACCCAATATTATAATGTATGAGAACTTAACTTTCTTTGTAATACCTTCACAATACGCAGAAGCAAGCTTCACAAAATCCCAGAAAGTTTATAAATTCTTGGCCAATTTCAAATTTGGAATACAGTTAAACATATCCGTCTGCTCGTCTGTATGTCTGTCCGTCTACCTAACGGTGTGACATCTTTGATAACATTCTCTCGTTTGCGAAAATAAAGATATCGTCTAAGACATTTTGGAAGGATCTTGAAAGTGAGCTAAACTTTTTAAAGGACATGTCTACAATGTCCGCACGACTTTGCAAGAAACACTGAGAACAGCATTAGATTCCGTGGTTTTTGCTCGCTACTCATAAACTGCAACGGCATAAATTTACATAAAATAATTGTAGAAAAATAGAAAAATGCAGCCACGCCCACCAGCTATTATTAAGTATGCAAACTTATATTTTTTTCCTTTTTTTCAATTTTTATAGAATAACGGTAATGGATATAAAAGATTCAGTCGCAACCGAGTATAATTTTCTTACTTGTGTTTTTCAAATTTCATAAATTGTTGTTTTAAAATTTTAACTTAATATCGTCCATTTGATACGTAAAATGAGGATTTTGTTACAGTAAATTGAAAAACGGTATCATGACGAACACAACAATAGGAGATGTTTTTCCTTTTTAATGTTCTGCCATTTCTTTGCCCATTAGTTTCATTTAGTTCGACATACAATTCTCTCTCTCTATACTTTTGAGTTTGAGAGAATGTAGATTCACTTTTAAGGAACTGATAACATACATGCACAATATGTTCTGAAGTTTGCTCTTAAGAAGCAATATCACCTTGTGTGCGTCAAAATTAGTGTCATTTCTCTAACTTTATATAAAAAACAAGTAAGAAAATTCTGGACGGTCATAACCGAATCTCTTATACCCATCACCGTTATTCTAAAAAAAAGACAAAAAATGTAAAAGAACTAAATTTTTATGCTCTATAATATGGACGGGGTGCGGATGATTTTTTCTATTCTCAGAACAAAAGTTTTGTCCCATCGACATGTGAATGGTGTAGGTGGTTCTTGGAAAGGTGTGGTAGGTGTCCTTGGTAAAGTTTAACTCACTTCCAAATTTCTTCGCAAACTTGTCGGCGATTTGCCACAAATACCACACAGTTGCCGAGACAGGCAGATGAACAGACGAATAGACAGACAGGGGGCATGTTTAGGCGCATTTCAATTTGGAATCAGCCAAGAATTCATTTACTTTATGGGGTGTTTAGGGACTAAAAGTTTTCCAAGCGTACACCTACAACGCTCACACGCGTGATAGTGATAGCAGCCAAAGCAAAATCTCACTTTCTGTTTTCAATAGAGAATACGATGATGAGATCATGATTATAGTAATAGATAAGCAATATATCGACTTCAATAAACTGCAAATATATACATATATATATATATATATATGTATAATTTAGGGGATTCCGAATGCGTTACGAACATTGCTTATACATGCGCGAAGATATGACACGCTTTGAATAATCATTATCTGTTACAATTGCATGGTAACGCACATATGACGAACACATATTACGTGTACGTGCATGCAATAGGCTGAGTGAAGTGTGTATGGCACGTGAATAACTGCGAGAAATTATTACCAACGATATCTTCTGTGAATAGCAGTTTTTGCTTCACTTTTATCTCTGCGCCACATTTCTTATGCAAAAATTTATGAAATTTTTCAAATACTTTTGCAATACATGGAACTACATAGAGAAGAAGTTCGCCCTAAACTGTAGACGTTTTGTAATATCGAGCAACAACAATAATACAACTAACACTTGACTTTACTACGTTCGTCGTGTTCTGTTTGTTGCAGCTGGGATTGATGCGAACGGAGAAATGCAAACAATTGATAGCACCTTGCTTGAGCATCTTTCAACCTTCCTAACGGCATCCTCTTACTTAATATACTTTCGCTCTTTCATGATTGAGACAACAGCATAGTCATTAACATTTTTTGTTTTTTCTTTTTTTTTTTTTTTTTTTTCTTTAAAAGAAGAATTTAAAGAAAGAATTCACATCGACTCAATATAAAGATAGAAAGAAAAAATGTTACAATTATCAAGGATTACTTTTTTTTAAAAGAAAATTCGAATTAAAGAGAAGTACTTGTATATATGAAGGTAATCAAGTAAAAAACTAAATACAAGGCATAGATAAATAATACGTTGTCCGCAAACTACATTACACGTAATACATTTTTTATATTAAACTTTGGTATTCTTTGCATTACCTTTAAGAGGTTTGATTAGATAAAAATTTACGATCGAGGTACCTACTCTTCTTCCTATTAAATCAAATAAATCGCAAAGCGTAGCAAATTTATGGATCGTATCAGACGTACATAGAAGCGTGGAGATAAATCAATTGAATCGTTTCAAGAATACGCCCGTAATTGTCGCGAAATCGTACATAAATTAGACGGACTAACTAAATACCTACAAAGAAACGTCAAGTTTATTTCAAATATCATACATCTATTTGTCCACTAATACGTTCACGGGACACGGGTTTATTTAAGGATCTCTCTCTACATTCGAATGCAAGCTTGTAGTGAATATTATAATAACAATCGGCATAAAGTTTGCCTTTATTTTCTTCTTATTTCGTCTTTAATTCAACACAAAATTAATTTTAATTAATTTCCTTTCATCTTATATAAGAGAAATCTTTAATTATTTGACTTTTTGATCTTAAAATAATATCAATATGTATGCAGCACCGTCTCCACTATAGAGCAGAGTGTTTCTTTATTTTATGCGAAATATTACCAAAATGTTGTTTTAAATGCACCTTTGCCGAATGGCTCCTCGGCGTTAGTCTCGACATAAAATATCCCCGTTGGCAAAGGATTTTGTTGCAAATCACCCATAAGTATGTTAAGCCAACGGCAATATTCAGGTTTGATATTAACATGTGAGCCGCATTTCGAAACAATAAACTCATGTTCTACGCTTGGTATCCACATATTCGCAAGTAATTCATAAGCTCTTTGATGGGAACAACGCATTCCGTTAACTCCGCAGCCAGGTTGTGTAATGCCCCCATTGGGATAGTAATCGGCATGGCCGCAGGGTGAGCTAAAACCGAATTGACCGGCATTTGTATGAATAACTTCTACATATACGGCATCATCAGCTGATAAACGTTGATTGGGCGGTGTATTTGAAAAATAAAGTATACCGAACGGATCAAGAGCAGTGATGCGTTCAATTTTCTTATTGAGTTTTTTATAGATGCTCTGACCTAAGAAACCAGCAATTTGGCCACCTAAACAGTAACCTACTACATGAACTTGTCGAAAATCTAATTCGAAAATGTCATGCAGTACAAGAAACAAGTCCGTAATTGAATCAGTTACAATGGAAGCAATCGTCGAAGCGTTCCGCACATCAGGAAAGAATTGATAGGTTAAGTAACTATAATCTACAACAATAACATTCGAATCTTCAATTGAGAGTTTCAAGTTCTTAATCACTTCGTATTCCTCAAAATTTTCGCTATCAAATACTCCATGTATAGCCAATCTAAAAACAACAACAAAAAAAAAAAAAACAACAAAAAAATGAATGAAAGCTTAGTGAATGAATTATTATTTTTTTTTTTATTTTTTATTCTTTATTTTGTACATACGTAGTGGGTTTTCGCACATCGATACCGCTTCGTATAATTGACTCTACATTAGCTTCTAGAGGTAAAGGTTCGTGTATTGTTTCCCTGGTATAAGCGGAAAAATCAATCAGATCCTTTAAATGCCTATTACGTGTGTTTGCTTTAATGGCTACAAGCCAACCTAACAAAATAATTAATAACCGCAAGGTAAACCGCATTCTCTTAAAGTTAATCGAAAACTGAATTAAAGGAACAATTGCCAATAAATTGAAATAATTTATTAAAATAGATAAGATATAGATAGTGCATGGAATTAAAAAGCTTGTGATTCGAGTGTGGACGGTTGTAAATAAGAAGCCAAACCAAATTCATTGATTACAATATGAATTTAATATGACTTGCAATAACAGCTAAAAAAAATTATAAGGAAAAAAAAACAAAAAAAAAAAACAATTGAAGAATTTTTGATTACAATTTTATAAAAATTTTATAAAAATTATTATGAAACGTAATAAGAAAAAAAACATTATTATTTTATATATTTTTCTCTTGTGATGCTGCAAGAAGAGAGGAAGCAAAGACAATATTCTATTATTTATTCTATTTATTTAAAAAGGAAACCGAAAGGAAAGTTAAGGAAGCAAACTTACGAGCAACTAACAGTTAGCAGCAAAAACTTTTCTAATTGCGCGAAGAAATAAGTATTTATTTGTATTGCGTTGAAAAACATTTTGTCGGTTCCGTACTCAAGGGTTAATTAAAACATAGTGCACAAGAAAAGTTGTACACGCAATACCATAGCAACCATGCTAATCATGCTAACGATGCTAACGAATTCACTGAAGATTTTTTTAATAAAATGAAAAGTGGAAATGCAAGTGGAAAATGGAAAATGGAAAAAAATAAACAAATAAGAAAGCTACATCCGATTGCGACCGAATCTTGCATACCCCATGCAACTTTCTATTTATCGGTATAAAAAAGGGAATGGAATACAAATCATCTTCCACTGTTTAGTTCACTAAAAGATGATGTTGAGAAAAAATTAGTCCACCACGTCATGACATGCGCGGCAGTTAAATCGGAGCTAACACAATTGGATCGTCGAGTCCCAATCCCCAAATACCTTATCCAAGAGTTGTTAAGAGAAAATTACTAAACCACGTCGTTGTGTCCGCCATATTTATTACAGCATTTTCAGATAGATAATATATCTTCATCTCAGGTATATGAAAAATAATTTAAAAATACATTTTCGACTACCCCATCTACCACAAGATCAATAAGCATCAAAGACGTCAAAAAATGAAAAAACAAAAAAAAAAAAATTGAAGTCACTTGTAAACCCGTGTGGGCATGGCCACTATTGCACATAAATAATAGAGTTTTCCGTAAAGAAAAATGTAGAATATATGTGTCAATCCGCTATCTTCCACAATTTGTAATTAACGCGCCAAAAATCCACAAATTTTTGCTTAGAGGAGCGGAGTTGCGTTCACTTGACGGTTTTCTGCGGGCGTAGCCCATTTTCAATACCAACTTCCAATGTCTCTCAGGCAAACAAGCACACAAACACACGCACATACACGCACAGACATGGCTTAATCGATTCAGAATTTCCAGCTGATCAAGAATATATATATACTTTATAGGGCCTCTGAAGCTTCCTTTTAGATTTTGCAAGGATTATAAAAAGAGTGAGTATACCCCTACCTTTCAATGGTGGATATAAAAATAATTTGCCTTTACAAGTATGTTAGGCACATTGGAAAGATTCCTATATTAACACCAACGATTGGTTCTAAAAGATGGCTTCAAAAATTGTTCCGACCGTTACTTTATATATATGTTACAGATTGTTAAATTTTTCTGCCTTGGAATTTTTGTTTTTTTTTTTTTTGCAGTCGTGTAAGATACTTTTAGGGCTTGAACAAAAAATTTGGTTAGCTGGATGGAAATGGCGGGGTCGACCCTACAGAATTTTTATAGGCCTATGTAAGGCTTCATCACGCCGGTCAGTATCAAAAGAGAAAAAATATCATTCCACTTATATGTATTTTAACAGTTTAATAATAGAAGATATATATAAGTAGACGAATTTGAAAAATTTTAAAAACCGAGTATTAGATATAACTAATTGATGAAATTAAGTTAAGTACATTATTTAGCAAATTCTGATAAAAATGTTAAAAAAAAAAAAAAAAAAAAAAAAAAACTTCAATTAATGAAACTCGCTTAAGAAATCTGCCGACGAATACGCATTCACAAGTGGGTGTAACAATAAAAACAACTCGATAAAAATTACAACATAATAAAATTGCAACTGGAGCGATGAGAGATAAGCCACAACTTTCGTTCACAATCAACTCTTTTTTTTTTTTAGTCATTAACATACAATACATATAACCGAGTAAGTCTTAAAGCAACCAGATATAAATGTTCCGGATCACACATCACAATAACAATCTTCTCTTCTTGGCAGTCAATTCAGAGATATTTACTTTATTTGCCGGTGAGCCTGCAGTTGAGTTCTCCGAAGAAAGTATGTCGTCAACATAGCATGATATTGTTCAACAAAACATTTCCTCCACATAATCGCTTGAAAAGTTTCCGCTGCCAGTCTTCTGATAGAGTGGCGGTTCTTAATATCCTGGCGAATTCCGAATCCGGAGCATCCTTTCAGTGCCCTTAACAAACAGCTTTGTTCGACTATGATTATTATTAGTACTTTTCGTATTGTAGGCAAAGGGATACTGAAGGTAGATGAAAGTCCCTTAAAATGGTCAATTCCAAGCACTATTGCCAGTAAACATCATCAAGTCATAACACATATATGTATATATATATATATATATGTAAAGAAATAATTGATATTATTTTTCCTTTCTCAACACACTAACACGCGTAGATGTCAGGAAAAAATGCGCTCGGTACTCGTAAATTTTTTGCTTTTTCTCTTCGTTTTCAATAAATTTTTGTTTTTATTCACAAGCTTTTCAACTTTGAAACTTCAATTCTCTCTCCTTTCACTTAATCCGCTATGTAATTTCAAAAAATTCAGACAAACTATTCAAATTTCTTCTTCAAACCCAAAAAAAAAAAAAAAAAAAAAAAAACAATTTTTTTCCAAAGAAAACTCGCCTACTCCTTCAGTACAGTTATAGACGAGTAATAAAAATTAATAATACACTAATAACAACCTGCCTTACATCATCTTATAAGTATTCATATATTCATGGCTTTTCAATATGAGGCGTTATAGGGAAAGTACTGCAGCCGGAAGCATTTCCAATAGCATTTGTCCCACGTCAATGTACCAAATTTCATCAAAATGTCTACAAAATTGCGACCTATCGATTGAACACAAGAAAAAAGGACAGACAGACGAACGGATAAGCTCAGAATCAATATCTGAATCAATCGGTATAATACAAAGTGAGTCCTTCTGGGCGTTGCGTATATCTGGACCAGCTTAATTTACCGTTGTACAGCTAACGATGTACGCTATAGCGAGGAATGAATGTGATTACGCACAAAGAAAACACAAACATCCTAACACTTTAGAATTTTGATTTATTTTGTATTATATTATTTTATAACATATTGTTATAAAAGTCGCATAGTTGATAATAGGGAATAAGGGAATAACCTCAAAATCCACCTAATTCTGTTAAAAATACAATTTTCCTCCCTATGAGGAAAAAAAAAATGAATAAAAGTAACTGTTATTAACAAGGCGGGATGCTTTGCCAGCTTGTGCTTTAGGACTTAAGCGAACCGTGAAATTAGAGAGGAATTAGGAAAACAATTTCCACGCGAAAAGGAGAAAAGATTTCCACGGAGTGTCTCTCCTTTATTATTTCACTTATTAGAAATAACTAGAATACAACAACAAATTAATATATATTTTAGTAATAGAATCATTTTAGAGAACTACAACTAACTACCATGTCATATATTGTCGGTATGTATGGCATGACTGTTGACAGAGCCCAATGATTTCTCGATAGTATAGACTTTCAAACGGTTCGTTGATGGTTCGCTATAGTTGTTTTAATGCGAGTACTTTTTTGGCCGCTATGGACAGATTTGGCCGGTTGCTGTTCACTCGGCTGACTGCCTATTTGACTTTGCAGAGCATGTTTTATCCATTGTCAAATATCGTATGAAGAAATCTTTTCTATTTCGCCTAAACAGCGGCAAGTAGAGGTCCAAATGGCTGAAATTTGATTGAGTGGTAGACAAAGGATTTCGGCTAACAATTCAATGATCGTGGGTGCAAATCTCAAGTACAGTAGAGTTTTTAACAGAGCCGATAGCCCTAGATAGGCCCTAATGTTTTAAGTCTTAGCCTTTTTTTGGCTGGTTAAAGAAAATAGTTCGGCTTACCCTATGCCTTTTTTACTTCTTTCATCGATCTTATATTAATCTTGCGTTATTTTTTTTTTTTTTTTTTAGATTCAAGCATGCCCTGTGAGATATTGAAATGTCGTATATTTTTAAATGATCACCTTAGTCCTGGTGCCGGCAAACTTAATGCTACTTGTTTTAAGTTACGGCAAGATAAAATGATAATTAAGTATAAGAATATGAATGCAGCTAAGCTGCCTGCTGTACTGACACTACCTGATAATGCGTCCATGATACGCGATTTGCAATCGTGCATTGAGCTCCTATGAGAATAAGACTTCGCCTAACACCAATATTTGAGTAACTAATACTTATTGTAGCTTCATTGTTCTTACTTTGCTATATAATCCATTATATATATATATATTTATTTTTTTTTTTTCTTTATCTTACGTAATAATTTTTAGCTTATTATATTAATTAGTGCATATTTCTTTTGCTTTTTTTTTTTACTTATTCCTATTCTATTGGGTTGGAGCCTTGCATTTAGTTACTTAACATTACCACCAGATTGACTTGTATTTTACAAATCTTGTAGCCATACCTCTTTCTTTCTCTTTCTTGCTGGCGTGTAGACTAATTTTATTGGTTAATGAATTGTAAGGTTTTGGTAATTAGTAGTTATATTAATTCCCACTCTTGGTTCCCCACCACCCATTTACTTTTTTTCATTAATCTTTGCGATTAACCACAACTGGTAGGTAGTAAATCTTTAATGAATCTCCCTGATCGTAACTCGTAGACGATTGCACACATGAACTGTCAAAGTATAAGCCCGTGTAATGAATTTAAAAATGTCGTGGAGCCATATGCTTTTAGGCGTTCTCTTT